TCTGTAATCTTCCCAAGAATGTGGTTATAGCTCTGTGTACAGTGATTTTCATTTGGATACAATAAGGTATTCACTTAGGTATTTAATTATCTGTTGGGAGTTGTGTTCAATATTAAATGACTCTACCAAGGCACTAACTCAGATGTCTTATCTGTTCATTGCACTTGCGCAGCTGGATTCTTAACTAGCATGCATAAGCACATGAATGATGAAGGGTGTTTCTTGATTTCTTTAAGAACTATCTCTAAATAGGTGGAAGCCCGATAATTTCCTTATCAGCTTATACTATATGGAAACCAATATACATTATTTACCTACTTTACTCCCAAGCTTCTCTTATGGAAGCCATAGTATGTTGAAGAAAGACCATCTGTTTCTCAGCTTATGTTGAAGTCCACTAATTGAACTATTTTATTAAATCTGATATTTGCTTGATTGAATTCTGTATGTGGTGATTCAAATATGAAGGAAAATAGATCTATGTTAGGAAACGGGCCTATTAGAGTATTAATAAGAATAAGGGACCGGGCCTATTAGAGTATTAATAATAATAAAGTGTATAAGTTTAGTATAAATAGAAGATAGAAGGGAGGAGTTGAGGAGGCTGTTTTAGACTTTGACTTTGGGACTTTGGGAAGATCGAGAACTTTCTCTTTCTTTGGGGGGCTTCGGCTCATTTTGGGGGCTTCGGCCAGAATTATCTCTTCTACTTCTGTAATCGTTTTCTCGTAATCAATAAAGGTTCATCTGTTCTTGTTGATCTTTGTAAATTTTGTCTGGAAATCTGGAGGTTTCTATCAATTGGTATCAGAGCACGTTGATCGCTGGATGACCTTGACGCGCGCTAAAATGGAAGGACGATTGAACGAGCTGGAAAGAAATCAACGGGAATCAGCTGCAGCTAATGCGGCTATGGCGATGGATATAGCAGAAATACGTGCAGCGATCGCGACTTTGGCGGAGAGAAGCCAAAATCGATCGCGAACTACATCGCACACCTCATCTCGATCGCATCACTCCAATTCCTCGCATCGCACCTTTCAACACAGACAAGCGAGGAATGGTGACAGTTCAGAAGGATCGGATCAACATTCTACTTCTCATCGTAGTAGCGATCATCACAGGTATCGTTGGAATCATCATCCTATTGGTAGGAAAATTGATTTACCGCTTTTCAATGGACAAAATGCTTTCGGTTGGCTGGTAAGGATGAATCGCTATTTCCGCTTGAACCAAACTGAAGAAGAACAGAAAATTGATACTGCGGTAGTGGCTATGGAGCACAGATACAGAAATCGCTGAGATACCTGCGTTTCGCGTTCCGGATCGCGCGTACCGGATTGCGGTACATTTGCGTGCCAGTCGCTTCTGGGTCGCGACTTCGGTACGGAAGTTTCAGGTCGCAGTTCGCTGGTCTCTCCCTTGTGAAGGCTACCTCAAACTTATCCCTGTAATCTGCGAACTGCGAAGGGCGTACAAGGGCAGAAGGTGATTTTACAAGGAGATATCTCATCAAGTCAACAGGATATTGAAGGAGAAAGAGCTCAAAAGCATGAAGTTGATGTCCCCTATGTTGTAGCAGGCTACACCTTGGTCTCCACAGAATCTGCACATCTTAAAGCTTTGGATAAAATGTTCTGGCCTCTGTGGAACTATGCTGTGAAGTACATAGAGCGGAAGATGGAAGTAGTAAAGCAAAAGGCCCTGCAGATAAATAAGTATTGGAGAGGAAGGGGTGCTAAGATGAAGGAAAAGAAGAAGATTGTGGCTGTGTCCTATGACCCACCTTGAGGGCAAGGTGGATGTTTAGGGGGGGAGTATGTTAGGGAACGGGCCTATTAGAGTATTAATAAGAATAAGGGACCGGGCCTATTAGAGTATTAATATTTAATAATAATAAAGTGTATAAGTTTAGTATAAATAGAAGATAGAAGGGAGGAGTTGAGGAGGCTGTTTTAGACTTTGACTTTGGGACGTTGGGACTTTGGGAAGATCGAGAACTTTCTCTTTCTTTGGGGGGCTTCGGCTCATTTTGGGGGCTTCAGCCAGAATTATCTCTTCTACTTCTGTAATCGTTTTCTCGTAATCAATAAAGGTTCATCTGTTCTTGTTGATCTTTGTAAATTTTGTCTGGAAATCTAGAGGTTTCTATCAATCTAACCTTTATTTTATGCTGCACAGATATGGACAAGCACATTGCAGAGAACAATTTTGACAGCTAGCTCAATTGTTGGGTTTCCTAAGGTTGGCATGTCTAAAAAAATTCCCTTTTATGTTGTTCTAAAAGTAGTTATTGACTATAGAGATTTGTAATTGATATTACTTCAAATTTTCACTTGCAGATACAATGGCGTGCCCTTGATGAGATAAATGCTGGTGTATGTGATGGGATGACATATGAAGAGATAAAGAAGAATATGCCTGAAGAATATGAGTATGTTGTAACTGTTTATTAGGTCTACTTTGTGTGCTTGTAAATTTCTAATCCCCTAGTAGTTGTGATCTCTTTCCATTAAAGGTTTATTAATTTTTTTTTCAGGTCACGCAAAAAGGACAAACTAAGATATAGATATCCACGGGGAGAATCTTATCTAGATGTTATCCAAAGGTGTAGTGTCTTATAATCTCCAAAGTCTTGTGAATATATTTTCCTAGCCGCTTGTTTGGTAGGAGACCTTTGGAGGGGAGGAGAAAAAACTGGAGGAGTTGCTTTTGTTTGGTTGGGGGGGGATGTGGAGTTGTGGTCATGCTCAGGGGCGTATCTAAGGGGGGCCATGCTAGGCCCAGGCCCGCCCCAAATTTCAAAATTTTAAAATTATTAGGGCTTTAAAATTCATGTAAAACATTTTCCAAAAATATTCTTTGAGGATTTTAGAGCACTGGTTTTGTATATTTATTTTTCCCCTTTTCAGTAAAAGAAAGGTCTACCTTTTTTAATTACAACACAAGTATATCAAGGACAAGCTCAATGCTTTTACATATTCTTGTAAAATACCAATTTGTCATCACTCTATTTTACCAAACATAATACCACGTATATTTTAGCTCTTCCATTTTACTTACCTCTCATCCCCCTTTTTGAGCCAAATACAGCTTGAAGAACCATTCTTGCTTAATATAAACTCCATTGTCTGCTTGTAGGTTAGAGCCTGTGATTATAGAGCTTGAACGACAAAGAGCGCCTGTTGTTGTGATATCTCACCAAGTAATTAATGTCTTCATCAAGTTTGTTTTCTCTCTACTTCCAACTTCTGGATATAATACTTGAAAAACTAACTGCATTGGAAATTTAATAGGCGGTATTGCGAGCTTTATATGCTTATTTTGCTGATCGACCACTTAATGAAATTCCACACATAGAGGTAACTGTTTAATGGTTTCTTCATGAATCACGTCTAAATTACTACCTAAACAGTAATACATATTTTGATCGGGGATTAACAATTATGTTCATTCTTGGGGTGATAATTGTGTGATAGTGATGCTCTTTGTGTTTATCCATCAACTGTTTGTGATGTTGTGAGATTTGAACGAATGAACTGTTTGGCTGCAATTTAAAACTGCAGGTTCCACTTCACACCATAATAGAGATTCAGATGGGAGTGACGGGAGTCCATGAGAAACGGTATAAACTAATGTGATTTATTCGTTGGTGTGAGACTTTGGTTTCCAATTTTCTTTTTGTTTTTCGATTGATCAAGTGTAACATAAATAAATTATACAGAGTAGTCTTCGGGTGTAAAAGAACAAACATAATCAAAAGTGATGTACGTTTACATATTGCGGCTGCACCTTTAGTGTTAGACATACACTTTTCAAATGAACGTTGTAGAAGAAATTACACTTAAATACTTAATCCAATTTTGCTACCACATTTTTCACCTCTTTCTATTTCCCAATGAGGAAGACACAGGTTCATCATCATTTTCATTTACCCCAGTGCCATAAAGGCTCCCACCTACGGTGGGGTAAAGGGGGGTCGGATGTACGCAGTCTTACCCCTATACTAAAGCACAGAGAGACTGTTTCCGGATGACTTATAGTGAAAATCGCGTCCAAAATTGCATAGACTGACAATTGCTTCATAACAAAGAAGCGCAGACAGTTTAGTGAGTCATTTTGCTTTATTCCATCATATTTTCAAGCCAAAAAATAATGAATTTTTGGCTCCATTGCAAATGATGGAAAAGAGGAAGACAGACCGTCATTTTATTATACTCCGTAATAAAATTTAACGTACCTTTGTTACCCGGACTTCTTAGGCTAAGTAACATGGCAATGCCCAAAGTGTGAAAGTCTGCGTCTTGTAGAGTTTATAGAGTCATAATACATGTGTGTGTGGCAGCGACTTGTTTGTATAACTTGCATGCTACATTGTTTTAAACTTCTAGTACCTCTGGCGCTCCAAATATTGGGACGAAAGAGAGTAGTGTGATTTTTAAGAAAAGTAGAATTATGTGGTTGATAATGAGTTGATAAAGTGAGAATAAAGTAAAAACGAATTAGAGTCACACCAAATATGGTGTGAGACAATAATAGAGACACATCCAAAAATAGAAAATATGGGACAATTATAGGAGGACGGAAGGAGTAATTGTTATTGTATGAGGTTGGCCAAGACAAAGTTGAACCCAACAAGTTGGGCAATCCAAATTCAGTATGTGAGACCCAATTCTTCTGAATCTGACCCAAAGTCATTTAGTCTCAATTGCTAAAGCCCAATAAGTGTAGGCTGATGTCCATACTCATATAGTCATATTACTATAGTCAATTGATATTTTCTCACGATATCAAAATCACTGAAGTTATCACATTCCAACTCAACACCAGACTGAGACCGTACATTTACACTATGAACAGTCCAACCAAAATGTATCTACGTGTTCTAATTGCAAGTGCCAAAACACATCAGTACATACATGCATGCAATCCCTAAAGATTGAATTACTATTTTGAGATGGAAAGTGCTTGTTGAACTTGAATATGTATGTATGTAAAGGTGTTTCAAATTAAAACTCTCTATGTAGAACCTTGTATTTAAATGAGACTAAAATTATTTCTTAAACTTAGAAAGAAAACTAAGACATTGATGATGATGATAAAGAAAGAGACAATGATTTAGCCACTTCTTTCTCATTATAATCCAAACTCCTCTTACAATATAACGTTTTGCTTTTGAAATTATCATCTTGATGATCTCTCATAGCCACCAGGTCCATGCTCAACTTCAAATCAATCTCGTTATCTCCCGCAACTTTGTCCTCATTTGTTGCACCAAAATTGTTCCAATTTCTGAATGGGGAATAAGAAACTCCATTCCCAATGTTTCTCATTATCATGAGCTTTATATTTTGTCAATGTAACTGGTCATGCGCTGATCGTGTAGTACTGTCACATTCTCTACTACTTTTCCCCTTCGGGGATGTAGTAAAGATTGAGTCACTATTTAGATTGGTCATATTGTTCCTTGAAGATATCCAGTTTACATTGTTTCTGCTTCTAGGGAACCTGTGAAACATCAATGTGTAATCTGATATGCTAAATCTTGAACATTTACATATACATTGGCTTAGTATAATTAAATAATGGCAAGATTCATACGAATATCCATACTTTCATAGATTCTACAATAATAGTTCATGCTGAGTTTTAATAAAAATAATCCAGACGAGCAATAATGTTTCATGTTACAGAAATAAACTAGGGTAAATTCAAATTAACGTTCATTTAATACTCTCAACCCTTACTCCACTTTCACCTTCACTACTCTTCAATTTTCCAAGCTAATACCCAATATCTATCATCTCTTATTTCTTGCCTTTCTTGATCCACCACACTGACTTTCTTAAGCTAAGCAAGTTTCCTTTCTTTCCCAAATTTTTATCATTTTCTGGCCATGAATTTTGTTTAGCCTCTTAATCGCATCCAAGGATTTCAGAGGCTGTAAGATTCCAACAAAACCAAAATACATTCGAAATTGTATGGTTTCAAACAATGGTAAGAAGAGCAAGAACATATTTTTTAAAATCTTACTTGCTAAGTCACCTTAAGAGGGTGAATTGGTGAGTGGGTGGATGTAGAATAGCAAATAACAAACGGAAGGTAATGAACTAACATAAATTTCTTTTTTTTTTGTGAACGCCATCATGAGTTGAGATTTTTTTTTAAATACTCCAAGTGAGGAATATTATTGTAGAATCGTTGAAGTATAAACTTTGCCTTAAATAATTGAAGAGTTTAATTATAGTCAATCATCAAATAACTTTTTGGTATTACTTGAGTAATTATGTGTTAGGATTGAGATCAACATAGGCATACTTTGATTACCTGAAGTTGGATGTTATTCTTTGATCAAACGCTGGTAATTGCCACAGGTTTTGTTGAAGATTGTTTGCAGTCCATGTAGGATAGATTGTTCCCTCGTTTATCACTAATTAACAATTTAGTCAAAGAAAATCAGAAGTTAGTCTTAAGGCTATGTTTGGCGGACATAAGTGTCTAGCTTCTAGCTTTTATACTGTTAAAAAAGTCTCTAAAAGCTTCTAGTTGTATGTTTGACATGACAATTTTTAAGAGCTTTTCAAAAATCAAAATATCTTTTTTGAGATGCTACAGAGACTAGCATATGAGAAAAGCTCGTGACTTTTAGAATTAATTAATCCTAACAGCTTGTATACCAAACAGAACTATATCAAACAGACAACTTTTACCAAATAACTACCACCTTTTATTTTTAAGATCTTTTCAGTCACTAAAAGTTAACAGTTATTGAAAAGCTCACAAAAATATCTTTTCATCTAGTTGTGTCAAACATACCCTAAGTACCTTATTACTAGGATGTAATAAGGTACATAGTTACAGTTTGTGACTTAGCTATAGTCACACTTAAATATATAAGAACAGACTTGAAACGAACGGTATAGAAACGTGTGACTTAGATAATACAAAAATACACAAAATATCAGAATAAGCTTAACAAAGTATTATTCTAAATCACCAAGCTAGCTATTTAAGGCCAAATTTGAAAATACCAATCTAAGTAAAGTTATGATCAAGAACAACTTAAAGTAATGTTTTCCCTTAATCTTTATGATAACTTGCATTGCCATATGCATGATCTTTAAGCTAGCTATTCATTACAGCACTCATTTTTACTTTCTTTTAGAAATTAAAATGCTAATAAAACCCGGAGTTAAATCCAAAACCTTAAGATGGAATTAATTAAACATGAACCTTCTACGTAGTACGTACCTTAACTTCAACCTACAAGGGTACGACACCACACATGCAATTGTTAACTTCTTTCCCGTTTTAATATTCTTCGTATCATAGTTATAGACTTATAGCCCCCGCATTTAACTAAATAAGTCAGTCCTGGGAACTTGTATTTTATTTTTAAATTTAATAGTCAACGAATTAGACAATGTCAAAAAATCCAAAACTTAGCCAAAAACAAGTTCCTAAAATATTCTCGAAAAAATTAAACTATCCAATATTCTCAAAAAAATTAATGGTGTTAAAACTTTAAATACATATTAAAAATTTAGGAATATGAGTACGACGCGAGAACGTTAAAATAGATACCATAAAAAACATTCTTGGAAATTAATCACATTCTCAAATTTTGGGTTTTTAATAAAGAACAATACGCTTGCGTAGTCATTACGTACAATAAGATCAGAAAATATACTCTACTAACAATTTTCGATCAGAATTGTTTTTGGAAAAAATTGAAGATAATTTAAAACCAAGGTCTACTTTAATTTTTACTTTTCCTGAAAATATAAAGATTTAGAGCCCGTTTGGTAGCACCAAAATCGGCTGTTTTGGCTGATTCTGCTGAAATTTATGATATTCTGGTTGGAGTGGCTGTTTTGGCTGATTCTGCTGATTTAAGAAAAAAATATTTTAAAAATATATTTTATTAATAAATTAAAGAAAAAATTATATGTAAAAATAGCTAAAATGGTCCTCTACAGTAACTTCAGCCAATACAGCCAGAAAAGTAACTTCAACCTTACTTTTTCGGCTTATTACACAATTCAGTGCGCGAAAGTAAAAGTTACGTGTTTGGTGAAAAAGCTGGCTGATAAGCCTGATAAGCCGAAAACAGAGTTCTCCAAACGGGCTCTTACATAACCGGTTATATTTTTAATCATTTGTTTTATTTAAAATTCATTCTGAACTTCATAAATATTTTGCAATACTGACTAAATATTTTGTTGTTGTTTAATATTGCAAAATATTATTCGCCATAATCGAGCATTTGCAAATGATATGTGATCAACCTCCTAAGATAAATTGAAGACTTTATATATATGTGTGTGTACCATATTCTAATAAGCATTAAATGTGTGATGATTTAAAACTTATTCTGAAGAAATGAGAGATGGATTGAAGTCAATTTTTCTTACCTTGTCCCTGACCATCAACATTCTTGCTCCTGTACATCTGTTGAAAACAAAGACAAACAAATTTAAATACTTTACACACAAAATCAATGATTGAAGATTGATCTTGAAAGCCAGTAACACAACTAAACAGTACCATAATTGAATCTATAGATAAGTTAAAAATATATGTTCAATTGATTCAGATCCTAATAGTTCCATATCATCATATACATACAAAAATTCAGATCAAGACCTGCAAATGGCTCTTGACATGAGCAATGCTTAGTCCCTCAACGTTCATTAGCTTCAAAACCAGCTTGGGCGTTGCCCCTACATACCACCCCACCGGATTGTTATTAAAAATATGAAAACTAATGATAATATATAAGAAAAACAACTATTATAATGTTTAAATGGGGCAATTATTTAGAGAAAATGTTATATACTAGCTAGTATATGCTTATGTCTATTATTAGTTTTGTAACTTGCCGATATGTCTTAAACTAATAAGTTTGTCCAAATTAAGTCTTTTCCACCAGAATGTAATATTCCTTGCAAAATAGCCCAACAAACAATTTGACTCTAATATGAAATTATATGTATATTCTGGTGAAAGAGTAGTTCTTAATATAAAGTGATTATTAGTTAAGAACACATGCATGCATATATAAGTGTTATGAGACTAAATAAGTATCTCGATCAATAAGCTCTCCTACATACTTTCTTGACCTCCGAGACGTTGTACCGCATGGACAAAGCTAAGATGAAGATCATGAGTCCACCGTAACCTTGGAACTTTGGATCTCACGTATTGTCGTACTACCCCACCGCTGCTACTGTTACCGTTACCGTTATTGTGAGATGATGATCCTAACCTCGTCATTGTCTCCTTCTTGTTGTTCCCGGTTTCCTCATGATCATCATCGATCCCGCTATCATTGTTTGATGAGCTCCGACTCGTTTTCGGATCCATTGTATCTTCTTCACCATGATATTCATCCAAAGGGGTCATGTTTAAGTCAACACAAATCTCTCTTTCCACCATTTTCTCTTTTCTATATATATGTAATAACTTCAACTTTCGAGAGAGCAAGAGCTGCTTAATTAAGATAAATATTGTTGGTTATACCTACCTTATATACATGATTTATCTCTGATCATATATATACTTAGAATTTAGCTAGCTTCCATTGTCTTAGGTAGGGAGTAATAAGCAATTAAGAAGTAGTTATGGGCTATGTTTGTCAAATTGAGTTGGAGCTTAATGCTAGTGTCCTTTTGTTGGAGCTATACTTGGTAGGGGTTCTGAACCTGAAACCTTAGGGAAAGAAATATAATTGCTTAGCTTAGCTTGACGAAAATTTAGAAATGATAACTGAAAAATATGTAAAATTATAAAGTCATGCTTAAAGTTTTTCTTAAATATTATTGAAATAAAATTTAGTTTTAGTAAAAGGTACTACAATACTAATTAGTAAAGGTATAAATAGTTGTAGTAATTTATTTATATGTTCGTCATTATTTTTTTAAGAGGATCAACTCAGTTTGTTTTAATTAGTCTCTAGTTTAATTTTTTAAAGAGAAGTCTCTAGTTTAATTTTGAGTATCTATTTATTATTAAATTCATTTTTTATCTCAATAGATTTCGAGAAGTAACAACTGTTTATATCAAAATTTTAGTATCGTATGTTTTCGTCATTATTTAATTTTGAGAATCAACTTTATCATCTTTCAAATTTAAATAAATACCTTTAACATCTCTTTAATTTGGAACGGATGAAGTCAGGGGAGGATCTATGTTAGGGCTATGGTGGGCTGAAGCCCAGGGTAAAGTAAAAAAAATTATTATTTTTAAGGTATTATTTTGATAAAATTCCATTCAGCCCACCCCAGATATTTCTATAGCTCAATCAAAATTTTCAGCCCAACCCATAAATCAAATTCTTATCATCTAAAAATCTAATCAAAATGTTATATACATCACTTCCAACTTAGTATATAATATAACAGCTTGATTAGCATGTTCACATCAACTTGTAAAGTGTTTGACGATCTTCAAGAACATTAATTGCACAAAAGTGAGGTCTTGGGCAGAAGTTCGTAGTGTGTATAGACACTTTCCATGTTTTGAATTTGAGTTCAATTTACTTTTGATGCACAAAGTTATGGAAATAACGACTGTTCTCTCTCAAGGCCTTCAAAAAATTATTGGATATCTTGGTAGCCATGAGACATCTTTCTACTTCACAACTCATTCTTTAGGAATTGACCAAAAATGGATGGGAAGGTTATCTTGAAGAAGTAAATGAGTTTTGCTCAAAAAAATAAATTCATTCACCGGACTTGAATTCTAATTTCTAAATATATGGTTGGTTGTTGCCAAAAATAAACTACAGTTGATCATTATTATCACTTTGACGATTTCAATAAGACTTTTTTTGATGGAGCTACAAACCCATTTAATGATAAATCAGTGGAACTCCTATCTTTGAGTGCTTCATTGGATCCAAAAAAATCATATGAGTTGTTCAATGTTGATGCAATTTGTACTCTTGCAAGGAAGTTTTATCCTGAAGATTTTAGTAGTCAGAACATTCATGCTTTGAAATTCGAGCTACAACACTACGTTCATTATGTGATTCATGATACAAAGTTTCAAGTATCTACACTTTTTAAATTATGTGATGAGTTGACTAGAGCTAAGAGCAAAAGATCTGATTCATATGTTATAATGAGTAGATTGATTCGCTTTGTATCGATCTTATTGTTTCTACTGCAACCGTAGAATATCATTTTCTGCCGTGAAACATCAAAAGACAACACTCTGCAACAAAATGGATGATTACTTTCTTACTCTCAATATAGATGTAAACTCTATTGTTGACGAGTTTATATTGAAAAGAAATTACCCTCAGTATAGATGTAGACTCTATTGTTGACAAGTTTATATTTGAGTTTTTGCTTATTTTGAAAAAAATTCAATGTATTATCAATTAAGTTTTTCAGCCCACCCCAACATGAAATCCTGGATCCGCCCCTGGATGAAGTAACAACTTTTCATAAGAAATCTTTAATAAATTAAATAGCGTAGTATATTATAAGCTAAAAAGCATAAAAACAACATTAGGAGCTCGTACGTTTCGTACTATACTTGAATGAACGGAATTTGAGTTCCATGAGAAATAATAAGGGAATTATTTAATTCCATTTACTGTACGTAGCTAGGCTCGGTATATATATATATATTATATGTTCACTTGATGAACTAATTAATTCTTTCGGTATCACACATCATTCCTACATCTGAACTTAACCAGTGTGGCAATGTACAAATACATCGTTTAGATTTTGACCATTTTAACCTAGAAAAAAATTATCAAAATTGAACTAAATCATAATATATACGTGTTTTCATAATATGATCTAATACAGTTTTCTGTTTAAATTTTATACTACTACGCATACTTTTAGAAGAAGGATTTAAATTATTACTCCTATTTCTTTTCGTCTGAGAAAATAGGTCTTATTTTTTGAGTAAAAAAGTGATCTTACTTGAAGAGAGATATGCGCGTTTTTTTTGCCAGGAGATATGCGCATTTTAGTACGGTATATATTCATTTCAGTCACGGTTTTTCTCTTAAATTATTATTATAGTTATATATAATTATAATAATAGAGTGGGTGACATAATTGCATGCATGCCAAACATAGCCCTAACATAAACTCTTAATAAGTTCAAAATAACCTTGACTTAGTCTTGTTTCGACATACCTAAGGGCTAGCTAAGGCTGCTTAAGTGCTTCCATCATCGTCATTGCCCATTTTTTCCTTGAATTAAACCAAAAAAAGAGAACGAAATTGTTGCTTTTAGCCTATAGAGTGAGAATAAAAGAGGGGTGTGTGTATTTTTTCAAATAAGGGAGACGTACATTAATGGAAGGTGGAAACAAGAGGATGGAAAAGCCAAACGTAGCCCTTTTCTATGTCTAACCTTAGATGATATAGACTTGTGACTTGTCTCCACACTTTCAATTCCCACTTTGTCTCTATGTGCATCATATTTTCTCCGCATGTACTAAAATACTACAATGAGTGATCTTCCATTTCCTATGAATACAGTATGAAATTTTTAATTAGACTGGTTTGAGTCGCATGTCGGATCGGAACTAATTAGAGAATTGGTGCTTCGAGTAACCCAGATCCGCTTAAGGTTGTTCAATTTAGCGATCGGGCCTCTCATAGGTATTGAAACATAATTCACGTTACTATTATTCTTATTATTTACTGTACACAATAGTAGACGTACGTATGTGTATTACTAAGATGGGATAGTGCCGATCCACTTATATAGATAATATAGTTAGGAAACTTTATCTTCATGCGGCCATGTAGTGTATTTATACACGCACAAGTGTACATCGTAATATTATCAATTCTTATTCCTTCATTACTCTTTTATGGTATCAAGAGCTATTCTCTAAAGAGCTAATTTTTTTTCCGATCCGTCATCATGGTCATTACCGCCGCCACCCCAGTTATCTCAATCACCGCCACCGCTCATTTCCCTGTCAAACTCACTACTTCCAATTACTCTGTCTGGAAGTGTCAAGTGCACTCTGCCCTAATTGGCCTTGGCCTTGAAGGCTACGTTGACGGTACCATCACTGCCCCACCGCAATTTCTTGATGATGCAAAATCTCAACCCAATCCTTGCTATACCATCTGGTATCGGCAAGATCGTACAATCATTAGCGCTTTGATCGGAAGTTGTTCCGATACCATACAACCCCTTATATCGTCTGCAACTACTGCCCATCAAGCATGGAAGAAATTGGCGTTCACCTACGCCAGTTCCTCTCGTGGGCGAATTATATCGCTCAAGACGACCCTTGCCCGGACCACCAAAGGTAGTCGCTCTGTAACCGAATACCTCTCTGCAATGTATGCTATTGCGGAGGATCTGGCGCTTGCTCAAAACCCAACATCTGACGAAGATTTGGTCATTAATATTCTCAATGGCCTTGGACCCGAGTATAGTGATTTACTCTCAGCCATCCGTGTCCGTGAGACTCCTCTTCCACTGAGTGAACTCCAGGACATTTTATTGGAGCGTGAAAAGCAACACCAGGAGGCTGCCGCAGTACAAGACTCCCGCAGGTTTTCTTCTTCTCATGAGCGACGTGGCACTCAATCTCGCCGTGGTCGTGGAGGTCAGCATGGAAATCAGTCCAGGCAGTTCACCTCACCTATCATTTGCCGGTTTTGTAATATCCCAGGTCATGAAGTCCAACAATGTAGGAAATTGCAACGGTTTTTACGAGAGCATCGCATTCCTCATCCCATGCAATCACCTTCTCCAATGATAAATACTACTTCGGTCAATACTTCTTCGGGTGGTCAGCCTTGGTTATTTGACAGTGGGGCGTCGCATCATGTCACAAATGATGCCAACTCCTTGCCGGCGTTCAGTGAGTATGGCGGTCCCGATGAGGTCCGTCTTGGTGATGGTAAGTCCTTGCAAATCACTCATACAGGTTCTACTACCCTACCCACCAACTCTCGCCCCTTAGCTCTAACCAATATTTTATGTGTTCCGAGTCTTCACAAAAATCTAGTGTCAGTCTCTAAATTGTGCAAATCTAACAATGTATCTATTGAATTTTTTTCTTCCCATTTTCTTGTTAAGGATCGGGACACGGGGGCGTTACTCATGCGAGGCAGGAACCATAACGATGTCTACTATGCACCATCAAATACTCTTCCTCAAGTTAACATTGTTCAAGTCTCAGATCAATCTGTGTGGCATCATACTCTTGG